GACTGGCCATGTGGAGTTTTCTGGGTTTTCTTCACGTTAGTACCACCTAAATAGGGCTAGCTTTACATAAAAGTCTTTCCAAGATGCATCCTCCTTGGCAGATTACTTGTGTTGAATTGCTGTAAGCAAATAAACCAAACTAATTCTAATAATTTTTCTATAAACATGATATTTACGAGGTCATACTTAAACATCTCCTTTTATTAACTGATAAATCCATTGCCCCAAACTTCTTTCGCTGATACTGCTTAAGATGTTCTAACATTCAGCCAAATTAATGTATGTGCAATGATTTTAAGGCGCAAAGTAGAGCTTGAAGTCTTTTTCTGTGTCAATGTTTATTTTTTCTATTTATTATCATGGTCACATGACATTCTCTTATCCAAAACATCCTGTAGTTGTAATATGTGTAATATGCACTTTATTCACATGTTGAGTCTTATTATCAAACTTGGCTCCAGTATTCTTATCCCACAACTCTCAAAAGTTTAATTTACTTACAAGTTAGATGTTTTTGCTTACTTTTTCAATCTGTTTTTTTTGGTTTTTTATGTGGAATCACATAAAAGCAATTATTCTTGCATTTTACAAGATTTTTTTTATCTAAACAAGTCTTATATGAAGCCTTTTGGATGTTAAGGTTAGCAACTTTGATCACACGTGGGGCCATCACAAGAGCTATCCAACACAGAGCACTTTTCAAATTAATAGTAGATCAGTATTAATTAGTAGTCGTTGACTGTCCTCTCTTCCAGAAGGTCAACTTTTGGCCAAATACAAATTCCTTCTGCAACAGTTCGTTCTTTTTATCGGACCAACAGTATGGTGGCATTACAATAGAAAAATTACATAATACAATACTAAGAAACACACCTGATTTCTATTTGCTGAGTTTTTTCTTTATTCCGAACGTTTTCAGCCTATTTCGATAGGCCATCTTCAGGCTTTTACATTCATCGTTCCAAATGGAACCAATTTGTTTGAATTTATTTCATTTGAATTTGAACGTTTTAACAACTTATGTATATACAAGAGTAAATAAATAGCTAATTAAAAATAATATCAAAACGTGTTGCAAATTAAAAAACAAAACAAAAAAAATTATATCAAATTTAAACGAGACTAAATACTAATACCTATAATCTCCAGATCTTATTTTTATGGATTATTTTTAAAATGCATACTTTTTTCAATTTTGTATTTCCAAGCTGTTGGGAATGCATCTGCATCTTTTGCATTTAGGCATCGGTCCCTCATTTTACTTTTGTAAAATCTCTATTTTTTTCCATTTCCATTGCGATGGACAGTGAGTGCCCTGTTCTAACGATATTCGCTTCATCCCATTTGACTACTGCTGGGTTTTAAAAATAATCCATAAAAATATGATCTGGAGATTATAGGAATTAGTATTTAGTCTCGTTTAAATTTGATATAATTTTTTTTGTTCTTGTTTTTTAATTTGCAATGCATTTTGATATTATTTTTAATTAGCTATTTATTTACTCTTGTATATACATAAGTTGTTAAAATGTTCAAATTCAAATGAAATAAATTCGAACAAATTGGTTCCATTTGGAATGATGAATGTATTGGGTTGTTTGGAAAGTAATTTCATTTTTTTATTACTAGAGGAATTAGATGTTTTTTTACCAGCCAATTTCATATTAAACTACCTTTTCATTATAAGAAAATTTAAGATATCATATGATATATGATATAATGAAAATACGATATCTTAAAAAATTTAAGATATTATATTTTCTTTATTATTCTAACAATTTTTTCAATTGGTGTGTACTTGACCAATGAAATTGTGCCATTTCTTATCTAAGTATTGAGATAAAACATGACAATGGTAGGCTAAAATAACCAAACTCTTTATATGGTTTTCATTTTAATATTTATTATATTATAGTATCTGAATTATGTAAATACAAAGGTTATCTTATGTAAGGGTTTATCACACAAAGTGATTAATCTAACATATTTTTAAAATTCTTTATTACTCTACTGTACTCAATTTAAAGAATTTTAAAATCTGTTAGATTGGTCACTTGGTACTATAAATCCTTATGCAAGATAACCTTTGTAGTTATATAATCAAATATTATAATATAATATAATAGAAGGATTAGAAGTACGAAATAATCTAATAATCATAATGTCTGCCCTTATTTTTTGTCCAGGCAATGCCAAGCTTACCTGTTAATATAATATGTTTTTTTACGACCTGTATAAATAATGCTAATTCATAATTATGCTGAATTTTATTAAAAAACCATCCATCATCTTTTATGATGATAAATAACACTTCAAGCCCATGATTTTAATTTAGATTAAATTAGTTATCCTAATAGATAGGGTTTTAATAAATTGGAGGGCTTATCACATCAGAGCAGACTGGAATAAATAGAATACATGTTACAAAAAATAGCCTTTAATAACTGCAATCAAATTTAGGTAATAATGCATTTTGGGTACAAAGACCCCTCATCAGCTTACATACGCATAGTACCACCCTAGCATACATTAATACAATCCTAACACAAGTAGTAAACCAAGACAAAAGGATTTTTTGATATATACAGTGCACTGTATTCACAATATAGTTAATTCATCACAGTATTCTAAAAAACTAAAAATTACCAAGTATATAAATTTTTTAATTGATGAGTTATATTTTATCTTTTATCTGGACCAGTAAATTTCTCTTTCTTACATTTTTCAAATTCTGATAGACAGTTCCACTATTAATAATAAAATATTGTCAATACATTATAAACCAAAAGAGAAGGAGAATTAAAACTATGAACTTATATTCTTTTTTAAAAAAATCGGTTTTCTTTATATCATTACATTATGATGATGTGTCAATTCCATCTTTTCACACACCCTTATTAAAATAATAAGACCTTTAAACAAAACAAATTCATAAGACAATAGGAAGCCAACAGCTTTGTTACAATTTCCATTTTACAATGGGATGCGACTTTTACTCTCACATCTGTTTTGCCTCGTTTTCAAGGTTATGTAAAATGATGGGTGTACACTGTACAGTGATACTTTGATTTTTGTCAATAATTCGTCCAAAAACAATCAGTGAAATCCGAAACCGACGATAACCAAAGTCAGCGAAAACCGAGGTATTACTGTATATTACACCTGAGTAGGATTTCGCTTTTCTCAACCTTCATGCCATTGAGCCATTGGCACTCTCCATATCAGATGTAAATTAATACCTCTGATAAAGCCTAAAAATCTTAAGACATTTTAGTTATTAAAATTTTCAAAAACAGTAAGAATTGTTCTGATTATTATTTCACAATAATAGTACAGGGATCTGCGTCATAAATTCATTCGTCTTTTTTTTTTTTTTTATTTGAGCTTGGAGAGTTTTCTCAATTTAGGGTAATTTTTTGCAGTTGAAATTGGTTCGGGTTTTAGTTGGGGTGCCTAATGTTGATAAGGGACGTGCATCTCCCAGAAATATTTTAGCTGTTGTTATGAGCATTACACCATCAGGTCTCTATCAGTTAGAAAACAAGGAAAGTCTTCTTAATCAACTTTATGCTTATAATGAATTTACAATTTCTACAGTAACTTTATTAACATTCAGAACGCACCCTCAACTTTATTAACACTTCGCTCAGCATCCATTTTAACATCTGGAAGTAGCAAGGGTTTATAATGTGTCACTGTAAAAATACTGTATTAATAAAAATGCAAATGTCGCTCAAAGAACATAAAATGCATGAATAATTAAATGTTGTAAAGTAACCAAGTTACATTTTTGTATATGGTGAATAATTTTGTTACTTGTGTATATAAGATGATTGAAGATAAATAAATCATAATGAAAAAGAAAGTTTTATTTTCTCATCATCTCTCGTTATTAGTTAACATCCAGAACATGTGGTGACTTTTAACTATAATAAATCCGTCACACAGTGGTTTTTAACTTTAGCAGCTGATTTTTATTTTATCATGTGTAGTATATCAAGCACCTAAAACTATATGTAATTAGACATTTAGCACTTTTTAGCAAAACAAAAGAAACAAATGTGTATTTTCTCCATATATTTTATTTCTTTGAAATTTTTTTAAGTATGAAAATTAAATTCTAGGAAAAATTGTAGAACTAATGTTGTTTGGCATTAAAAATTGTAAATAAAAATGTTTCGAGCCTATAATTCATATTTTAAAGTTACAAACCACTGTGCTTTGTACGATCCTGTATTGTGGTTGCATCAGCTAACGTTCAGAACGCGTTATGGCTTTTCTTAATCACCACAACACGTAGTTGTCAAATATCATGAAAGCCATGACATGAATTTCGCTTTGTGGTTGTTTTGAATTAGCCACAACGTGTTGTGGCCGTTTTTTGCTCAATGAGTGTTTTCAGTCTTTGAGCCTAAGATATATAAAGGTACATTAGATTTGAAGCGTATAACTTTACTCATAGCACATTCTTTAACATATTTTTTAAATAATAATTTACTATTGTAGAATTTCATCGGATGGAAATTTTACTAAAATTAATTTTTTTGAAGACGTAGTCTGTCCAAAATTGGTAACCATCATTTATTTACTTCTTGTGTTCCAGAATACAAACAATTGATGACCTGATCTTTCTTTTTAGGCTGCTTGGCCATCAAGTTTAAAAACGTTCTTTTAAAAAACACAGAAAAATATCCAATTAAAATTACAAAGTTAAAATTAAAACTGGTGAATCTTACAGACATCTTCGTTTTTCTTTCCATCCGGGGATTTTTGGATTATATCTACTGAGGAAAATGCACTGGTAAATGTAGATTATTGTAGCCTCCCCCTGGTGACGAATCTTTGCAAAAGTTTCAGTTACCAATTTTGAACAGACAAAATTCTACAAATGAAAGTTTTTCTATTCTATTCTACAATCTTTTATGATATTGAATAAACTGATAATTTTGAAAGTATTTCAGATATGTTCAAATTAATAATAAAATATGATTTGTTTATAGATGCGATGCTGATCCACAAGCATTGGCAAGATATGTAATGGCTTTAGTAAAGAAAGATAAACCAGAAAAAGATTTGAAAGATATTTGTTTAGATCAGTTGGATGTATTTTTACAAAAAGGTAAGTGTAAATTTATTTACTGTTGAAAATTAATTATCTATATAAGCTTATTTTAATCTATTCAGTTTAATCATGCCACTTGCTCTCAGGTTGCTTTAATTTCTCAGTTAATTAAACATATTTAGACTCATAAATTTATATCTAAAAGCAATATAGTAAACCATTATTTTGATTTTATATGTAATCAGTTAAGTCATTGTGAAGAAAAATGTGCATATTATTCAAATATACATAGATAAATGTATAATTTAGTGGCTTATTTCATGTATTGGAAAAAATGGATACTATTCATTATCTTAGTTTTGTATGAGCCGTGATATTAACAATATTCAATGTATAGTATAGAACTGATATTATTTTGTAAAGCTGTGACTTTCATAATTCATTTCAATTCCAATCAAATGAAAGAGAAATGATAACATATTAAAAAGGAAAAAATTAGAAAAGAGTTGTGATATTAGTGAAATCAATATTTTTAGATAGATTTTTGTAATTCTGAATATTTAGCAATTTAGATTTATGAATATGACTAATGTTCCTAATCCAAAGAAATCAATTTGTTTAGTAATTGTAGTTCAGCAATCAATATTTTCATTAACTATTCAGTTAAAGTATATGTAGTTCGATTTTTATTACTTATCATATTTTATTACAACTTTATAGTTTTTAACTCCCTTAGAGAAAGGTTTGTGAAAAACTTAAATATTTAATTTCTAAAAATAAAATTTTCATATAATATTAAAAAGCCGAAAATACACTTATGAAATAAAATACACTTACGAAATCAGAAAAATATCATGTATTTTTTTAATTGTTTTTTTAAAAGTGCTTTAAAACAGGACCATAATGTCATAATAGTCTATGATATAATACAATGTCACTTCATGCCAACGTTTATTATTATTACATATACTGTAATCCACTCCTGTAACACCACAACACGTAAGTTTTATAATCATGTCATAATAGTCTTTTTCATACAGGGACTTTCTTTACCAAGGAAGTTAGGATAGGACTGTGAAAAGAATAAGTCGATTAACTAATTAAGTGAAAAGTGACCTGTTTACATAATCACTTCTTTCTCCATACAAATAATAGCTTTTGTGTCATAGTCCTGTTTTATTGTACTTTTAAGATATTAAAAAATGCTTTCATTTTATATAGCAATTATATATTATAAAAAGTTAAATTTGCTTAATATGCTGTTGCATATTAAGCAAATTTAACTTTTTATAATATATAATTGCTATATAAAATGAAAGCATTTTTTAATATCTTAAAAGTACAATAAAACAGGACTATGACACAAAAGCTATTATTTGTATGGAGAAAGAAGTGATTATGTAAACAGGTCACTTTTCACTTAATTAGTTAATCGACTTATTCTTTTCACAGTCCTATCCTAACTTCCTTGGTAAAGAAAGTCCCTGTATGAAAAAGACTATTATGACATGATTATAAAACTTACGTGTTGTGGTGTTACAGGAGTGGATTACAGTATATGTAATAATAATAAACGTTGGCATGAAGTGACATTGTATTATATCATAGACTATTATGACATTATGGTCCTGTTTTAAAGCACTTTTAAAAAAACAATTAAAAAAATACATGATATTTTTCTGATTTCGTAAGTGTATTTTATTTCATAAGTGTATTTTCGGCTTTTTAATATTATATGAAAATTTTATTTTTAGAAATTAAATACAGTCGACCCCCCTATAAGATATAGATACGTTCCAATTTATTAGGAATCCGATTTCTTACAAGTCGTTCCAATCACAGCCCGACACGTGTCAAATTTACGGACTACGGCTGATTGAAAGGTTTTCTTCCATAAAATTAATTGATTCTACACTAATCCGACTCAACATTTCCAAAATACGTATATTTTTTCGTAGTTTTATAGGAATCGTAATTATAGGG